ACATGCTTTCCTGATTGGGTTGCCAGACCATCTACCCATGATCATCTACCCATGATATTTACACCCAAAAAGAGAGAAATAGTGGACTTAAACAGCTAAAATATATTTGTTATAGTAGGTTTTCTTTTAAGGATAAGCTGGGGTACCCGTCTTTTATTTGGGGTTGATTCGTAATTAAAGTATAGGTTCACATTTTTAAAATGCTGATATGTAACTATATTAAAACAATTGTTTTCCTCCTGTCCATACTTTCTTGATTTCTCTTACTCAGACTGCGGAAGCCTATTAGTTTTGGCTTAAGAATGCAATTTTTCAAATGACAAAAAAAACAAAAAAACAACCAAAGCACTGTGGACTTTTGTTCCCCATCTGTTATTTTGGAATTGCACTGAAGGGATCTCCTCATGTTCAGTATGGACACGAAGAACACTAACAGCAACCAAACACTGCTTCAATTTACTTTTTGAGTGTGTGAATGTTGTTTTGAGACTGACTTGGAAAAAATGTGAACCTTTCCCTTAAGACGATTTGCAGACCATTTCTCCCCCACATGGCCTCCACTCTGTTCTGTTTGGTGCAACAGAAGCATCATAAAATAGTGCAAAAAAAGAAATACATCTCCCCTGTGTTACTGACTTGTTTTTCCCTAATTTTCCAGAACTACCAACATACCCATGTGTCTCCTTTATTTTTACCTTCATCATTTGGTGTCATTGCTCCTGCTTATTCTCCCATTTATGCTAATGATCACATTTTGTATGCTACTTGATTGCTCATTGGTCTATTTTGTTTCAGCTACTGTAAAAGAGCAATATAATAATGGTCTGGCTGTGGTAGACAAGTTGAATAGAGTTAAACATGCAACCACCAAGATTTCTCTAAATGAAAAACCTGCTAGAGTTACTAAGCTACCACCAGACTGTTTGAAAATGAGAAAACTAGTTACCTTTATTCTCAGATTTCATTAGTAAGTTTTTAATGTAGCTTGCTATGACATTACTGTAACAGAGGTGGCTTGGTTGTTTAATAAAAATATTATGTATATTATTATTATTATGTTTATTTTAAAATAAACTGAGATCTAAACTGGTAAAAAGATAATTAACACTTATGGAACTATATGGCGATGGCGAGAGTTAAATATGTAGTAATGATAGAAGAATAATTACTGTAATTATTGACTAAAGACAACTAGTTTGACACAGTATATTAAAGCTGCACTGGCTGTGTTCATTCTGCACTCAACAGTTTGCGTAAAAAGCTTGTGGGAGGCAGAGTGACCTTGAGACAAAAGAATGCCCTGTAGAGAGAAAGTCACAGGTTTGAATCTTGTCACAGCAAATGTGTTCCCGTCTACTCATTTTAACCTTTCAAAATGTCATGGACAAATTAATTTTTAGTTGTGTCAAATAAGACTTTTATTCCTAACATAAACACAGCTTGCAAGGAGTGCATGAATGGGGTCTGTAATACAGGCTGCTAATATTTCTAGTGAGCTCAAACTTGCTGTGGCTGTCTCCCAGTCTGTCTGGGCATGTGCAGAGAAGCACTGCAGTGCTGCACTATGAAAAGAGAGAAAGACAGAGAGAGAGGAGTTGTGACAGTGGGGTGCTTATTCCTTGTGATATTCTCGTTGCCATCCCATGTGTGAGAGAGCGTTTAGAGGATAAAAGACTATATTTGTGTGTAGTCCACTGCTGCAGCCGCATATTGTGAAGCATCCATTAAACATGAAAAGGTTAATGTCTGCAATCTACAGGGCTCTGAATCGTTTTTCATGGCACATATTCTCATTGCACAGCTCATCATTGTACCAGAGACAGTTTCTTTTCAGAGTTCCTCTTGCTAAACAACCAAACTGAGTCGGTTTGGTGCAATACAACCCATAAACCACTACATCATGGATTACCAGTGTAGTTCTGCTCCAGTTCAACTCAAGCTGATTAAACCTCTTGCAGACATCTCAAGGACAGCTCCTTAATCAAGAGAAACAAGTCCCATCACAGACAGTTTTAGTCTTTACTGGCTTTTGTTTGTTACCACACAAACCTTTACCAAATGTGTACCAAAGAATTGTCCACCTGTGCTCTAACCAGTCCTTCTAGTTCAGGAAACAACCAGCTCAGATTAACAACACTTGTTATTAGGTCTGTAACTTGGCAACCAGATGGACACACACAAACAGAGAGAGAACTGATTAAAGCAAGGATGCCAAGAGTCCCAGTAAGTGTTAACTACTTAATACCCAGAAACTGAGACTGAGTATAATAAGACATTTATTTGACAGTAAAGTCCAGAGAAAATGGTAAAAATGATGACATGGCAAAAGAGTCTCAGATAATTATTTCATATCTCTAAGGCAGAGGCTGTTGCCAGATATTATAGTGAAGTTATTAGCCCTGTAGCTTTGATACAGTATCAGCCTGCAACATTAATTGGCTACTTATGCTGTTGCAGGCATGATCCTTCTCTGCCTCTCGGGCTGCTGAGGCATCAAAACAGGTGGAACATAAATGGCACAGCATGTGCACCTCAGAGTCGTGACGCACCCTGGTATTTCTAAAAGCTGTCATCCATTTTGTGGGCAATGATGACGATAGTGGCGAAAGAGGGGTGGGGGTGGTATCTCTTGGTTGAAAGGGCCATCAAGTGGCCAGAAATTGAATTGCACCTTCAAACGGCTGCAGAGCCACAGAGGCTCTGTTGTAATGAAGCGAATAAACTGGTGAAACACTGCTTTCCCTTGAACTGAAAGGGTCATGCTTGAGTGGGCATTTTGAAGCAGGCTCAAGGTGTCATTTTCTGCTAAATGATACTGTAAGAGAAATGATTCCCAGTCTTCTATAGAAAAAAAATGTAATTGTAATAGGTAATATTGTATTACATTTCGCTTCAATAGACATTAGGACTAATGTCATATTTCTGAATAAAGTTCAATCATACCTGACTGACCTCACAGATTGAAAAGCTACCATAATGTCTGTAAGTGACACCACAGTCCTCTTGTTTCACTGGGATATCCTTTACAGGCTCCTCAGTGACTCCGCTATCCAACTCCCTGTAATGGCACACTGCATTCCTGAGAAACTAAAGAACTCTTGGGTTCTGCAGGTGCCAGTGAACAGTGGTTGTGCTCAGATCAGGCCTTCTGGTAGAGGTCACATAGAGGGCAAGGTCATTCAGAAAAAACGCAATTTCTCATCAACTTCCTTAGATCACTTGGCCTAAGGAATGAGTTGAATAGTGAGCGAATTTGGGTTAACAGAGCATGAAAGTTACAACTTCAGTCCCTGCTGATGTTCATGGCTTGGTGGCCTTCATGTTAAAGTGATGACTGGAATCCAGCCATTCTGAGGTACTCCACTTCATACTTCTACTCGTCTTTTAGAGGGAAATATTGTACTTTTTTACTTATTAGTAGATACTGATTGTGGGTTAGGATTAAAAAAACCCATGGTGAGCATGAATGATACTTGTAGGTACTTGTATATTCTGTTGTTAAAACTTATGTACTTAATTTTTTAATGAAAGACTTTTCATTGTAATTGAGTGATTTAACACTGGGTTATTATTATTTTTGCTACTTTTACTTAAGTAGAGGAGTTGACTACTTCTTCCACCTCTCTTGACTCTTGAAATGAATGATATCATGTAATGAGAACAAAATGTCAACAATATATGAATATTATTGACAAGGTGGCAACATAATGAGTTATTGTTTGAGTTTTAGAGTTTTAGAGTTTTTGATGATGATATAATGAAGCACAGTTTTTCACTGGGTCCCAGGCTATAAATATGCCATGTTTGTCCTGCAATCCTTTTGCTGATATTTTATCTCGATGCTCAATTAATTCACAAAGTCTGCATTTTCATTTCAACATGCTGCTCAGCTTTCTTTTTGATGACTTGGCTGATATTTTACACCATCAATCTTCAGTGTTTTGATGCAGTAAATAAAGACAGCAATCTGCTTTGCTCATACAGAAACTACAGAAAAGCTGCCCCCTGGAGGAGTTGAGGCACTGGTCTGAGGTGAGTAAATGTTAGTAAATGCAACACTATTTTAACTGACTAATGAGTTTCCTTGTTGACATTATGCTAACGAGTAAGCATGTGTTTGTTTAGTTGAGATGAAACCTGCATGCTCTTCCTGAAAATATCAATGTTTAAGCGATGCATTCAAAATTATTTTGAAAAATGTTGTGAGTTTTGCATAGCCTATTTCAAATGCATATTACATTTCAATCTGATTCAATCAGTAAATTCAACTTAAATTCTTTCTGTCCATAAAGTTTGCTGGACTTGTGAGAGACAAATAAAAAAATCTTAAAAAATATCAAATATCCTTACTTTAATTCTTCATATGGAACAAAAACATGTATAGGATCCTTCACTTCTAATAATGCAACCCAGTAGTCTTTCATTTAACATTTCATTTGTTTAAACTTTGGAAAGCTCCCTCCAGACACACAGAGTAAATTAAAGAAATGTTTTCACAGATTGAATCTTCTGGACGAGTAAACTGTAACCTACTCCATGTGTTCATTTCCCCCTTTAATATTTTAGAAACTGTCTCTCTTAATTTATGAATACGTAGGCTGTGCTCACCTCTTCAAATAGAGGTAGGCTACAATAATTACTTTAAATGTGTGTGTGCTCATATTGCTATTACATTTTTAATGTGCTGGTTTTATGAGCATCCACTTAAAAAATGAATAGACTTCATCTAATTGATGATGAACATTCTTGTAATTATATTTCTTATTCATTATTGACTAGTTGTTGTTTCAGTAACAGCCGCGCGGTGGTAGCAAAGTCGTGGACGTCATGACGCACATAGCGCGTTCTAGTATGCGCTCGCGCGTGTGCGAGTGACTGATGGGGCAAGCGTTAGTGTCTCTGTTCATGTCAATTTTTCAAAGTTACACCGAAGAGAAACCCGCTAACCTAAAAGACCTAAAAGTGTCTGTGAACTGCCCACCTACAAAAAAAAAGAGACACATTTAAGGATGAAAAAGTTAGAAATATACCGGCTCTTTCGGTTTCCTGACGTGACCCGTCAAAAGTACGGAGGAGGGAAAGTTACCGTCTGTAGTGACACCAGTTCATTCACGTTAGTAGCTCAGATGCACGGGGTGAGTGGGAGGGTCTGTGGCTGTGTCTGCACACCACTTTACGCTCTCAAGTTGGAGCAGTGAGGAGGTACACGTTACAAGTGTGGATTACTGTCAGCACCCGAGGTGACTGGACCGATGAGATGGTACTAAAACACCACAACAGCCCTCTTCTGCTCACCGTCACCTGCATGTGCTTCTCGGGAGGTTTGCTTTGGTCCTATCAGGAGGAGGATGCCAGTGACGGGTAATTTGTAGGACACGTTAAATGACACGAGGACTCCTTGCAACGAGATGAGAGATAAATGTTTATTTTGCTTTTCAAAATGTCTCCTTTCACAGGGGAGAGTGCTCTGAAAATAACATTTCTACAACAAAGTACCCCTGCGTGAAGTCGACTGGCGAAGTTACAACATGTTACAGGTACAGTAGGATGATTCATGTGGTTGGATGCTGTTCAAATTGTGTTATTATCCAACTGAACAGGGTTATAATAGTGTGAAATGATCAAGCTGCAGTGCACTGTGTATGTAGCTGTACATGAGTTTAAATTGAACTTGTCATTTCCTATTCAGAGCAGGGATGTTATGTTGAAAAGGTGCTTGTTGAAAATGGGCCAGTGAGAATGAAAATACTTTTTACTTGGTGTGACAGCTGGGCACCGTTTCTGCATATGAGCCACTGAAAGATAAATGTAAGTGAAAACTCTGAGGCTGTTAATAGCATTTAATTTATTTGATTCAACAATTTAGTTTATTGTTTTCAATGAATCTACTGTGGTCAGTTGTTTATCGCTTGTAAAATTTCTGCTTCCTCGCAAGGCTGCACCTTGTCCTCACAGATATCACAAAACATGAACGGAATTCTGTAAAAATGCATCAGATGTGTTGAAATGAAGGGCTTTTTGGGGACAGATGAGCCAATGTGGAGCTTCCCTCTTAATCATCCTTTGTGAACTTAAGGGATCATTGCAATCTAAATATCCACAAGACCCCAGATAGGCCTGTTCTGCTCTTACACTGGCTTTAATTATGACAGCTCGCAGACACAGTGGACACAGCGGTGCCTCGCAGCAAAACTCCTGTCAGAGGCTACGGATTAAGTTGTTAGAACCTAATCTGTCTCCATTGCAAGGGGCCACCTCACAGGCATAATGAAAAAACTTTTACCTACTGACTTTAAAGAGGCATTTTTAGTCAAAAAATCAGTTTGGATATCCACTGCGCTCTCCTTTTTTAAGGCAAATTCATTCATTTTGGGAAAGAGAGCATGGTTTACATATTAAGAGTATGCGATAAACAGAATATATACAGTTCACTGCAATAAGGTTTGACAAAGAGCTTAAAAAAAGAGCATGTGCTACTCTCCAACACCCACACACTCCCTATGGTGGTCATTTAAGATACGCTCATTGTTACATTGGACAGCTGATAAATGCTCAAACATCACTTTGCAGGAATGTAATGCTTTTCTTTCAGGCTGAGGAGATGGGCGCACTGTTGCTTTGGAAACACAATCATGCAAATTATTCAGGGAACTAATTTCAAACATTTTGTTGATGATCTTGATTCATAGCAAATCTATTTTTGTTAGTCCTTTTCTGGGAAAGCATATTGAGAACTAAAGAAATGCCAGATTGTTGAATATCTTCCCTGAGAAGTCTTCCAAATGTAGACTTGGTAAGTTTTCATCTCTGCATCACTTGACAAACTGCTGGCCATGGTTCAAGCTCACAGTGACATCCTGTTTGATCTTCAAATCTCAAACACATTCTTAACATAATTATGTTGGTTTATGGTTATTGGCTGAAACTGCAGTTGTTTCCCACAATGTTTATTTAAAGAAGAAAAACTGTTTTAGCTAAGAGCCAAGATAATGCGTCCTGGGTGCATTTCAGTTCACCTGTGCGGTGTGAGCTGATGACTGCTCACCAGCCCTGTAATGGTTTTATTGTAGTGCCAAATATTCCACTCAATGATCTCAATTTGATAAGATTAATATTGCTTTGGCATTACAATTGACATTGCTTTTTCCAAAATGCAGTCATAGACCAATGCAATTGTGCCTTGGCATGACAGGTTTAGTTCAAAGAGAACCAAGTGATTTAAGTTGGCAAGATTCAGTTGCCAAAGGAAAATTAAGGCTTATGGCATTCATTAGGCACTCTGTATCACTATCAGTGTCTCTGCACATCTTGGAACATTTTGTTACTGTAATTTACATTTTTTTTAACACTGCCATTGGAACTATTTGTGTAAAGGTTTGCAAACCACTCAAGCTTACGGTACACATCGCATTAGCAGTTCCTTCATGAGCTGAATATCGGGGTCGTGATCGTGGTTAACTGAAGAAACAGGATATTCAAATCCTTACTGAATTATCTAATCTAATCTGATGAATTTGACAATGCTGTTTTTAACCCAGCCGGAGGCAGCTGCGACTTGCGAGAGCTTGTGAGAATCCATCTTGTCAGGCTTCAAACTCTGTGTCCAACAACAATGTTACCGGATCATTCAGCGTCCTACGAGGAACTACTGACAGCTATGGCGTGAGCTGCGGTCGTGGTTTAATGCTACGTTTGTGGGACAGTGTGTGGGAGAAGTGACCCTTTGCTTGAAAAAAAACAATGGCGGCTGCTAAAGAGGTTAGTGTAGATGTTGCTAGCATTAGTTATATGAGAGCTGGAGGGTATTTCCTAATTGAAAGAAGAGCAAAGAATGCTTTTCTTGATGGAAAAGATGTTTTTGCTCTACTCCTGACTGGCTTAACTAATAGTTTATATATACCTGTTATATAGTTTGTTGATATGATTAGTTGAGGTTTGCACATGCTAGACGGTGATAGACAGATTGTTCATCCAGTCAACTATCACTGGTATTTTTTGAAACTACCTACCCTTTTCCAGTTTCAAACGACAAGTTCCCAGATTGGTTCTGTGTAACAAACCATCCATATATAACCAAGTCAATTTCTGAGCTTTAGGGTTGCTGGTAGCTGGATCTGGTTACACTTGGACTAAACCAGGCTAGCTGTTTTCAGTCTTTATGCAAACCTAATCAGCTGCTGGCTCAAGCTTCATATTTAACAGACAGATGTTTAAGGGACATCGATCTTTTTACCCAACTTTTAAAAAGAAAACAAATAAGCTTATTTCTCAAAATGATGAATGATTTAGAAGCATTGACATTCAAGTCTTCTGTAGGTCTAGTGGGAGATGAGAGGACTACATTTTGAAACAGGCCCTCTTTGGCCATGGCATTCCACAGTGTGCACAGTTTAAAACTCATCCTTGGAGCATCTATCATATTGTGAAACAGCACCAGGGGAGTCACCAGAGACCCAGAGAGCATATGTCACAGTACAAGAGAAGTACCAGGGCCTCGGCTGACTCTGACCTTATCTGTCTCACTGTCAATGGAGACACATTCTTCTCTCACTGGTCCTCTGGGTTGTTTTACATGGAGATTGTCATATTTGAGTTCTATTATTTGTGTTTAAGGTCTAGTGTCTTACAGGCTGAAGGGTTAAATATGCTTGGCTCATAATAAGATGTGAAAGGTAATGCAGGGTTTTTGTTCCAGAGGTTGCACTTCAATTATAAATGCTTGTGATTGCAACATAAATGCTTCACTAAAAACCAAAGGAGAGTTTGATTAAACTGATAAGGTGTGAGCTGTTTGTTCCATTTTGGCAACATCTTAAGTGCTATTCGGTCACTGCTGTTGCATTTGAACAGTATACCTGCCAGTGATCAGTTTGTAATCATTGCCAGTTCTATGACTTATCTTTGTTAGGTTTTCTGTTTTTGTTGCTGATGGTGGCTATCTTTTCTTTGTTGGTTTGACCATTGTGGTTATCAGCGGTCATGCTAACAATCGTCTTTATCCTCTTAGTGGTTTTTTTTCCAAAACAGTTGCTGCTGTTGAAAACCCATCAGCTTGTGTACAGAGAATTTTCTCTCTTTGGCTTGTGTCACAAAGCAAGATTACTGACGTGGCTGGACAAATGCACTGAGCATAACCCAGAAGAGGTTTTTAGTCCATGTTGCAGATTTGCAGAGCATCCAAGTTTTACTCAGGAGTTAACTTCATAATCCTACTTTGTGAGACAGACCCCCTGGGGGAAAGCAGCAAATCTTTGAGCTTTCATGAATTACTGCAGGCTGAATCACTTCATCAGTTGGCAGTAGAGAGTGACAGAACATTTATTCATGAAAAGGTGAAGGGTTATGTACTAAAGATTCATAATTGTATTGTTTTTATACTGCTCAATCAAACACATTAAATGGTTGTAAATGTTAAGATGTTTTTTCACCTGCTGAGATTAAGTATCTTGTGACTTTGAAAGTCCAAGATGAGATCCAGATCCAATCTGTTAACCATCATAGGATGGAGACACATTAATATTCTTTGTTTATAACTTTTCTCAGGTGACAAGAGGGTACATGAAACAGTGATTACATTGGCTTGATTTATTGTGTATACGATGTCGGCCTTACCTACTCTGTAAAGGAAATGCTTCTCTGGAAAAGAAGCAGAACACAGGCAGAGTGAGTCTTTCTACTCTACAGCTGCAACAGTTACACATAATTGATGTGTGGCATGTGTAATTGTTGCTTTGTTATTTTTCCAAATAATTCTTGTCGTACTGAGCATTTTGTTGCATACTCTGGCAAC